ACAGCCGGTGAAGTTGCAGAGGCTCAGCACCCAAAACTGCGACCAGGGCGTGGCGGGGTTTGCTTTTGAAGTACTGTGTGGTGTGCACGCGCTGGGTGTGGAGACACTGTTCGGGGTGTCCGCGAAACAGTGTCGTGATCATCCCCCGAAAAGCTTCCCCCCAACCAATTTCGGGTTTTTGCCGAAAGCCCTCCGCAATCCCAAAGTCGAGTTAGCAAAGTCCAGAAGTAGGTTTGGTGACTATATAAGAGGGTCCGACATCACGACAGTACTGTAAAAACCGAGCACACCGGGCGCCCGTAACCCTAAACCCTGAAACCCTAAACCCTTAAACCAAATCTTGAAGCCCTGAAGCCCTAATCCCTCACCATCCTCACCCTAAACCCTAAACCCATTCGCGCGCCGGTGCGCGCCCCCAAACCCTACCCTATGCGCCAGAGCTTTCTGGGTCCGATGGTGGCGGGTGTTGTTCTTGTTGTTCGTCGTCGTCGTCGTCGTCGTCGTCGTCGTCGTCGTCGTCACGGCTGCCTCTTGTTGCTAGCGCATCGGTTCTCAGAAGTCCGACTTGTAGAGTTCTATCCGAACATATCCGAACACATGTCGTCTGTGCGGTCTGGACTTTGTCGTCGTCGCAATACCTGCCAAGTGGTGCTCTAACCATGGGCCTGCGAGAGGTGCTAGCTGGACGATGGTGGATGGCGCTCCGAAATCCCGACGATGGCTTCGCACTCTGCACACTCCACCGACAAACCAGGGGCTCGGCTGTCTGAGCCACACCATCGCCGACCTCAATCACTAGGCCAGTTCCTTAGTCGCTAGCTGGCCAAGGATTTTTTCTGGGATTACACTGGAGAAAGCGTACTTAAAGTTGGATTGTGCAATGCAGCAGGAAAGAGCTTGCTTGGATCCAAACGCCTGTTTGTCGCATAGAGCGCAAGCGCCCCTGAGTGCACCACCTCCACGATGTTAATCAACATCACTGGAGACTGGAAATTTAACAATGCTACCACACCCCTACGTCGGTTGCCGCGGTTGCCTGCACTGCTGGCACTCGAAGCTCTTCAAACAGTTTCTCCACCTTGGCACAAAGCCGGCATGCCGGATCATGCCTGTCATGGTGCACGAATGGCTAAGCCTGCTAAGGCAGCAGCTAGAACCTCCCGATGCACAGTTGGATTGAAGGGAGCCTGCATTGGCTCTTGAATCAAAACTGACCCAGGCCCACAGCAGGATAATGTGCAAAGGTATGACGTCTGTCTTCAACGTTGACGTGAAGTCCGTGAAGTGGCTGTTTATCGAACTGGTTGACGACAAGTCCACATGGCCTCTGTGACCAGGCAAGGGTGCTGAGATGGGTCGTGAACCTGAACTCCAAGCAATTACTATTGCAAAGGTCGAAGCGAATCAAACCTGAGATATCATCAGGCGGCAGAGCACCTTCATCTCGTCAAAGGCTGCCTCGAACACTTCCACAAGGCCCTCCCACCTCAGAATCAGAGCAACGAACAGACTCGCCCTCCACGAGCAGCCCTACACGCTCGCTTCACCCGAAGGTCGACAGCTACAGTACGGCTGCCTTTGCAGCTCTGTGGACCCCGCTGGGTCACGACACCATGGTCCATCACATGCAACCTGGCGCAGGTGCAAGGAATGACCGCACGTGGGGCAGCAACACTGGAAGTATCGCTGCCCCCAAATAGAAAAGAAGAAGCGCCAGAACACGCACAGTGTGTGCAACTCCAGCAGCAATGGCTTGTGCTCTCCATTCTCCAGGCTCCACATCGAACGTGCCTTGCATTGCTCTTCTCGAGTGCCTCTGTTGCGGCCTGGAGCAGGACCACAAGCTTGGACACTCTTCGAATCGCCGCAGCACGGCATATGCGTCTCATGCTTGCAAGTTGCCTTCGATGGCGCGTGGCGAGACGCCCTTACGGCTGTGTACATGTTGCTGTAGACCACCTGCACTGCAAATCCAAAGTGGAACGGTTCACCGCTTATCTCTGACAAGGCAGTTGTCATGTTTCTTGCCTTGGGTTCAACTTCCCCTGCGTAGCCAACCTGGCAATGCTTGCCTTCAATACCATTTGACTGAGTGGTGCTGCAACCTATGATGCCTTGACCGAGCCAGAGCCATTGTCGAGCACGAGCGGTGTCCCGTCCATGCGGCCAGAATGGGCGCCGGGAAGCTCACGTTCATGCGCATGCGTGTGTTGGAATCGTGAGGCAGGGCGGATGCGGCTGAGCGAGGCTGTAGTTGCTTGATGTGTTTGTTTAGGTGATTCCCTGTTGGTGCTGCTTTGTACAGCAATGTGGTTGCCAAATTCTTCAGTGTGCACCATTTCCACCATATCTTGAAGCCCATTCATAAATCCATCTCGAGCCCATTCATAAATCCGTCTCGTGTCACTTCAGCTGATTCATGTCTGCAGGTTCGAGAAGCTCAATGAGCTGCCCCAGCATTGTGCAAACGACTGCTTCCAACTCAACACTAGCTCACACTATTCAAAAGGTGACATTAATATGCATCAATCGTGTCAGTCTGTCCGAGCCGGACTTGCGGGCTCTTCATCGAAGCTTGAAGACGACTGCCTTCCAGGGTGCTTACGTGTAGGTTGCCAAAACAGCTTCGGAAGTGCCACTGCTAGTGCAGAATGGTGTACGAGGACGGCAGCAAGGCCTGTCGATGTCGGTGAAGTATCCAGATCCACTGCGATAACCCTCCGATGTCGATGCATAGGTGTCGCTGCCTCACAGGCCGTCGCAGATTGGTGGTCCTTGAACTAAGACGGCAGGGTGAATTGCACCTTCGAAGCTGTCCTTCCGTGCAAATGCCTCGCCCTGCGTGCAAAGGCTCAAAACAGCATCCGAAACTGTGACGATGTGCCACCACTCGTGAAATACTTTCTCCGATCCTGGCCAGACCTCTTGCGTCCGAAAGGTGGTGTCTTCCGGAGTTCTTCCTCAAATTCTCTGCGAGGCATGGTGTCGACATGAACTGGACAGACATGCGAACTGTCAGCGATGGCGACAAGGCATCCGCCTTGCCGTGGGCAAAGGGGCATCGTTCAGAGGCGTGGGAGCAGCGTCCCTGCTGCCAATTCCTGCTACTGCGAAAGTGGTGTTCAGCGACATTGTGTGGGGCGAGACACTGCGGCGGGAGGACTGAGGCCAGGACTTGCAGATGGAAGTCTTGCGAAGATCTGGCAGCTCCTGCGGTTTCAGTAGCTCGTCCTGCACCCTTCGGGGTCGCTCGGTCCCTCGCGCTCCTCCAGCTCTGATGGGTCGTGCGCAAACGGACACTCGTCTCCGTAGCGGCATCTCCCTGCATGGCTGCATCGACAGGCTGATGTGGCGTGAAGTTTAGCATCAGCACTTCAGCATCGACCGCTAATCTCTTGGAACTGCTCTGCTCTGTGTGACTGATACAGATCTGGCGCGCTGGCCAGTTTCGTGGAAGCGGCACATCTTAGTCTTCCGGAATTGGCCAACCTGACACTGAATTGAATGACATCCTGAGCTAAGCTGAAATGAAGCATGAGGACTCGGCGAACAGGGTCTGCTTCTCCTTGGGCATCGCCTCAGTGAGACACTTTGCAGACTTCGCACCTTTGCAGGCTCGAAAAGATCCAATGGCCTCGGCGCTGTTCTGGAGGTTCCTCATCTGCCCTTGCAATTGAACGGAAAACGAGCAAAGGCTTGGATTTGCAGTGCTCAAAATGTCAGCGATGAGATGCGGGCGCGGATCGAGGTGGTGCACGAGTGCCCTACAGACAGTAGCCCCGTGAATTGCTCTGAATGAGCCACAGCTGCCCAGAGAGGTGGTTTCGCTTCTTCACCTTCTCTGGTCTCTCTCCTCTCGCTCTTCGTATTCTCCCGGTCTAGACCCCACGCTCCACGAGAGTTGTCGTTTACTTATCAATCACGGGCCTGGACAATAGGTCCTTCCTCCTGAAAGTACGGGCTGGGCTACTCCATCCAAGATAAATTGATCCGCCGAGGCCGGAGGCCCCACCAGGCATTTTGATCCGTGGATTCGAGGAGTTTGGCTGGTTAACACTAGACCCCTCCCAGTGGCATGGTTGGGGAGGGGGGGGTGTCCGGTCGGCTCTAGTTTCGCTGCTATTTGGGGTGGGGAGAGGGGGAGGGAGGGGGAGGTGAGGGTGGGGGACGGGGGAGGGGGGGAGGGTGGGGGGGAGACCGGGGGAGCCTTGACTACCGTTTCCGAAGCGGCCTCGCGTTAGCGATAAAATTAAAGCACTTTCTCCAAGCGCCATATCCAGTCTTTCACCCCGCTCATCGCAGTTGAGCTTGAAGGCTACTTTAGAACTCGAATGACTTCGAGGTGTGGGAACAAGAAACTGAACAGTAGCTCGGGTGAACAGGTCGACAAATACGAGTGACTAGCTGCTAGTGTGTCGATCTATACATCCCCACATTTGGGAGCACCAAAAGCCCAGATCCGCCGACAACACATGCCGGACAGAAAGCTGGCGTCTGTGGCTGCTCCTAACCCTGACACGGGCGGCTGGAGGAGGGCTAGTGAATAGTGATGCCGTTGTTCAAGAGAGCCGGTACTAGTAGTTCACTGAAGCTGACCCGCGGTTCTCAGTGGGTCCGATCCCATGGGAGTATCAAGCTTTGAGACCACGGGAGTATTTCAAGCTTTGAGGCTTTTGTCGTCGGTTCAACCCAGTAGCCGCTGTCTTGGACAGCTGGACGAAGGGTGCCGTCGTGAAACTTCCTCCCAGCCACAGCTCATGGAGCCACCACAGCACGCAGTGTTCCCGAAATTGCTGGCTCTTGTCTGAAATCATGGTAGTCGCTACTAGCACAACAACGCCGCGACCAACATGAATTGGTGCATCGGCACAAACTGTACAATGCTCTGCTTCAACATTGAATATGCAAAACCTGCATGACTTCGGCACATGAAGCCGGAATGGATGCAGCATAGACTGTGACAGGTTTGACAAGCCCATCTTTTTGCAAAGATGGCTCGATAGTTGTCACAAAACCGAAGCCCGCAAATTTGGCTTCCCAGACGATGCCTTCTCATGCAAGCTTCGATATGCAATGGCAGGGAGAATGCTTTTACAACTCTGGCAAGCTGCTGGCCTTTGCGCCTAAATCGCTGGAAGTCTTCATGATGCTGGCTCTACCAGGTGCTCCCCCAACCGTCCTCGAGCGCATGCGCTCGGCATGAGATACGAGGCTGGACGTGTATACGCCTGTACGCATCCTGCTGTCGTGGTCATGCAGCTTCAAACACATTGAACATGAGCGCATATCGCTGCAAACAGCTTATGCACTTTTATGTCCGTTCCTGCGGAATCTCTGCGCGCGGAGGCGTCTTCGTCCGTCGGGGTGGGTCGGAGTGCGTGCTGTGTTTCGAGGGCCACACAAGAGGACGGATTCAGGTCGCTCATTCATGGGCATGCTGACGTCAGCTTGACAATGAAAGGGTTCGGATGGCGAAGGGCATGCTTGCTTCGATTTTCGAGCGGGTTTATCTGGTTCAGCAAAGGTTGGGCGCTATTTGCGCGCGCAATGGATTTTCGGGTTGCATGCCCGGTGATGTGACATTAAGGGACAGATGGGTTTCGAATCACTGACGGCGTCACTTTCCAGCTGATGCGCAAATTTTGCGAGAACATGTAGGGCATGCCATAAGACTCAGAACAAATCACCAGTGTCACAAGTGCTGTCCTTCGCCATCTCACAGCACCACGAGCGCCTTCGGCATCTGCCTCCGATTCCTGTACAGCAGCCTAATCACGACGCAGCATGACGCCGGTTCGATTAGCTGAGCTTTACGTTAATTACGAAAGAGCCGCAAGTGCACTCAACAGGGCCAACCTTCGGCAGCTTGCGCCAAACAGCTTCCTGTTTGAAAAAGTGTTGCAGAGGCTCAAACTCATTGGAACGTCGTGCTGCGACAAAGACTTCTGCTGCGGCTGCGGCGGTGCTGCTGCAGCAACAACAACAACAACATCAACAAGAACAAGAACAAGAACAAGAACAAGAACAAGAACAAGAACAAGAACAAGAGCAAGAGCAAGAGCAAGAACAAGCACGACGACGACGACGACAACGACAACGACAACGACAACGACGACGACGACGACGACTACTACTACTACTACTACTACTCCTCCTCCTCATCCTGCTGCTGCTGCTACTACTACTACTACTACTACTACTGCTACTGCTGCTCCTGCTGCTGCTGCTACTGCTACTGCTACTGCTACTGCTACTGCTAATTACTGCT